CACACACACACACACACACACACACAAACACACACACAAACACACACACACAAACACACACACACACGCACACACAAAGAAAGAACGAAGAGAGGGAGACAATGATGGGTCAATAAGAAAAAATAAACTGAGCTACTTATTACCTGTGAGAAATCCACATTCGCGTCATCGCTGAGACTGTCATCACTGAACTCTGAAGGTACACCGTCACCCGCCTGTCCCCCCTCCCCGCCCCCTTCTGGTCCAAGATTGTCCTTGTCCCCACCTTGCCCCCTCACCAGCAGAACACCGTCCTGGGCTGTGGGTAGACGGAGATTGGTAATTGTATTGTTATATTATTTGTTCAGAGTATATTTGTGGACACACACACACACACACACACACACACACACACACACACACACACACAAACACTTTCATTCACTTTAATATCTAAAATATCTTACCAGGATGGTATTTGCTAAATATTTTCTCCCCGTTAAACACTACAAAATTAGGTTTTGATCTGTCTTTTGAACCATCAGAACAGAAAAGGCCTTTCTAATTGTTCATGGATTTGCTTTTAAGGAAACGTCGTAATAATAATATGCCTCTAGTATAAGCACAAACTCTACTTACAAACTTCGCTGGCTTTTCTCAGTTCTTTAGCTCTTTCTCTCTGTTGTTTTCTCTCTTCGTTTGCTCGTCTTTTCTCTTCCTCATACTTTTGTTTTCGAATGTTGGCTTCTTCCTCTTTCTTCACTCTTTCTTCCATCTCCATTAGGTGCTGCTTGCTTCGTTTCAAGTCCTCTTCCATTTCTTTGTCAGACAGTCTGACAAAAACAACAACATGCCCATAGCATAAGATAATAATATATCACAAAAAGCTAAAGGTGAAAGTGAGAAGGTTTAAAAGCCATTATTTGGCAAATCCCACAAACTTCTTCTCCCTCAAAGGAATGGAATACACTATGTGGAAAGACTTGCCCGTAACATTAATTTGTTCAACTGCTTGACAGTTAAATATCCCAGCTTAGTCTGAGCAGTTAATATGATTTCATAATCCTGCAACGTGAACATACGTTACACTCTCATACAAAAAAAAACCTATTCCTGCAAATATAAAGTCAATTTTATAGATTCTATATGCACGTGCTGAAGTAGACACCACGTCTCCCCTCCCCCTTCCCCCTGCC